CAAATATATAAAACCGTAATTATATAGGGCCTACACAAAGAATTTGTATCTTCATATGAAATGTCGGTCAATTTATAACCGTCCTTTACAAACCTTATTAATTAATACCGTCATGTACGATTTTCCACTCTTCTCAAAACAAACACTCAAATGACAGAGCTTGTCTGTTTTTTTTTTGTAATATGATACGTTAAGTTGTAAATTTTCAAATTATTCTAGTTGTGAATTGTTTCCTTGATAACTTAAAATGAGTAAGATTCTTGTTTCCACCAACGAGAGCTAATCATGTTGAACACTTCATCCTTCATTAGATTTCCTTGTCAAAAACTATTTATAATTTACTACTTGTTTATATTTAGAAACTTCAACTCATTCAATACATCAGAGATTTATTTGAAGCTGGAACTGGAACAACAAGCAGCACTTTGTGTTGGGCGATTCTGTGCTTCGCACATTACCCAGAATGTCAAGAAAAAATTGCGAGAGAAATTGAGAAAACCTTAGGTAAAAGATACTACCGAATGTAACACAATATAGTTCAGTAAAAATTATCATTTTAGTATACGGTATACCTACAATATTTGAACCACAGTTGCGCTATGAATGGCCCGTTTTAAATTATTATATAATGGTTAAAACGTAGATTTCAAATCCCATTTCCATCTCTTCTCCAAGGGTTTAATTAATTAGTGTATGCAATGCCTAACCGCAAATATTCTGATATTTTCGAAATATAGAAGCTAATTACATTATCAAATAATATTATAGCTTTTTATCTACAAGTGGTCTTTCTCTCTCTCTCTATATATATAAGCATAATGTAACTTCACCTTCAATTTAACAGGTGAAGATGGAATACCTACTATGAAACATCGAGATGAAATGCCATACACTTGTGCTTTCATACAAGAACTAATGAGACATAGAACCCTACTACCACTAAGTGTATTCCACAAAACAAACGAGGAAGCGACACTGAATGGATACACTATTCCTAAAAATACCACGGTAAGTGTTACAGAATTTTTATCGATGTTTGCTCAAAACAACGCTACTAACTCTTTGAGTTAAAGTGGAACTTGTAATAAATTGGGTAGGGAATGAAAAACCGGGAAGAGTACACCCTTACAATTTCATGCCATGACAGTGGTTGGTTCTAAAGAAGAAAACGAGCGAATAAGCGTCGTTTAAAATCTATTCACGCGCTAGCTGTTATATTCATTTATCATTTTGACCAAATGTCATTGCAAATGGAAGGTAGTGAATCAAAAGTGTTAGGTTGACACGTAGTACAATACTTAAATACCATGTCGATATTAACCAGGAAGTTATTAAATATTATGTACCAAGTTAGAATCGTATTCTATCCGTTAGTTTTGTACCGCTCATACAGGAAAATATACGACCACTAATATGAATAGGCTCGTTCGTTTAGTATCCAGTGTTATAAAGTATAAATATTTTATTTACTTAGGTCTGCCCGAACATCTGGTCTGTTCACTTTGATCCAAATCTTTTTGAAAATCCGAGAGAATTTCAACCTGAGAGATTTCTCGACCGTGACGGAAAATTCGTTAAATCGAATCACGTGATCCCGTTCTCCGTCGGACCTCGACACTGCCTGGGGGAACAGCTTGCCAGGATGGAAGTGTTTATCTTTCTTACCGGAATTGTACAGAAGCTGAGAGTTGTACCTAACCCAGACAAACCCGTCCCTCCCTTTGACGTCGGTGGATTTAACATATTAACTTACGAGGCGCCAGACTTTGACGTGATATTTGAGAAACGTTAATTAGTTTGAGGAAATCTCAACAAACTTCCATATTATTTTATAATTTTTTTCATCATAATTGGAAACTCCTTTTGAAATTTTATTAAATATAAGGTGTATGTTCTGGAGTGTAATTTATATGACGACATAAAACTGCAGTCCCAGACAGAATCACATGTCCAATCCCAATTCGAGCATCGGACATGATCAATATGAGAAGTTGCTCGTTCAAAATAATTGTTAGCCGAAAGCGTTAGCAAACTTTTCAACTTCAAAAGTTCGGATCTCCAATTAATCGAAATTTCATATTGCTGTCGTCCATTAATTCTGTGCTAAATGCAAACAAAAGAATACATTAAGATTGGGTTTGAATTTCTTTATGATGAAAATATCTTAAAGCTATCAAAACGATATAACTGACTACCAAATCATTAGGTATAGTTCAAATTTTCCGACAGCCTCCTTCTATGTAATTTTTGCTGAATGCAAGCCAAATGTTACATTAATACTTTTGAAAGTCCACAGAAATTTCTATTTTTTAAGAAATACATATACCCAATTAAATTTAACACTATAACTTTCAAAATTTCATAACTATCAAAAGAATAATTTAATCTATAAATCGTCTAATACTACTCAAGTTAAAGAAGAAAATAATTTTACATCTTAGAAATGACACTGACAGCTGTACATCAACTTTGACGGCATCAACGTCTGAGGGTGTCAGTGCACTTGTGGTAATTATCGAGGTAATAACTGTATTTTCACGCAATATTCTCCCCCGTCAGTCTATTATGCAAAGTAATTTCAGGAAACACTCTTAAAAATCAAAATTTGAACATACGCACAATCGTAAAGATTATTATTGTGATTAAATATTATGAATTGCTTATCTCACACTTACGCAATTTTCAATGTCGGGTATTGATTGAAAAATTTCCCCGCATGTGAGGGCAATTCAGGTTTAAGGTTTCAACCTTTAAGCATTGCATTCAATTTTGTCCAACTTTTATAAGATTTATTAGAATGAAAGGAAGTATTACCATCAGTATGCAAAACGCACAGATTCGCATTACAATTTTAAATATAGGCACGATTTACTTATGTAACTTATAATAAAAATATATCTTTTTTATTGGCATTGGCCTTTCACGAATACAGGCATCGTTTTTTTGCAAAAATACATTCATATTAAATTTATTGATTCGAGGAGTTCCACGTCCCCGTATTAAATTATTACGATCTACTTATGTAACGTACAATCAGAGTATATATTTTTTATTGACATTGGCTTTTCACGATTATAGTCAGCGGTTCTTGTAAAAATACATACATCATAGGTTGATGGATAGGATAGTACCACGTCCCATATTAAAAATCACATATATTTGCTGTAAATCATAGATTTGTCATTCACGTTGGCCTTTTCGCGATTTTAGACATTAGTCCTTGAAAAATACTTCTTCCTACTGTAGCACAATATGGGATGGTTCTTGAAATAAATTAGATATACAATTGTAACCACCGTAAGGCAAAAATAATCTTAATTACGCAGTGTATCACCTAGAAAGAATTCAAAAGAGATTTATTTAAACAGGTTAAAAGTTGAGGACAGTATTGGCGTTTCGTGTAAGATGGGATCGATAAATGACTCCAAATCGAAGCATAGATAGAATCAAATTTGTCTAATATTCTCTGTATATTTAGAAATAATTGAAAAATATATCAAAATTGATTGGAGGCAGATTAAAACAAAGTGCAAACCTTAGACCAATATTGTTGTTTCAGGAGTCGAAAATTACGGGTGTATTTAAAGTAGAATTCTGATGTGTAACATGGAATGTAAAAAATACTGTACGGCTGTTTGTTTTAAATTAATTTTACCAAATTACATCTCAGCACGAGAACCAACAAAATATCTTCACATAGTCTTCAGAAGCCGTCGAAGGTTTAAAGCATATCTCACAAGTTTACGATCTCTCGGCATTTTCAATATTATGAAAGCCCACGGCTATTTTTCGAATAAATTAAAAAAATAATTTTTTTTTCATTCAGGAAAATTACTGTCAAATAATTAGTTTAATATGGAATTCGAAAATGCATTTTTTTGCAAACTATGAGTATGTTTAAAATCCGATATACTCGCATGTATTAAAGCAAAAGTTAGACATCAAAGAATTAGGCTAAAATAGATTGATCACTTTTTTTCCTCTTTTGGTAGATTATAATTATGCAACAAGAAAGGTAATATTTTCCTTGAACCTTTTTTTGAAATTTTGTCTGCCTATTTAATTAACACTGGCGCCTATTGAATATTCAACAAAAACAAAGATTGAAGAGTTTAGATTCACATTGTGCAATCATCCACATTAGATAAACTTTCTGTAATTTTATAGTTCCATTCATTTAATTTTTACTTTTAGATAAATCATGGTTTGGATAACTTTCTTCGATTATACAACGGTTATTTTTGCATTATTTGCTTTTGCTTTATACTGGTACATATTCAAGAGACCGAAAAACTTTCCGCCAGGTCCACACGGGCTTCCTTTAGTTGGTTACGCCCCATTTTTAAACAACAATATGGCGGAGGATTTCATGAAAATGAAAACAAAATATGGCTCCGTTATGTCTGTGCAAATTGGCCTCTGGGATTGTGTGATTCTAAATGATTACGATGCAATTTATGAGGTGAGAATTTGTAACATTATTATGTCATAATTCTATTAAGTTAATTTTTTTTATCATATCAAAATCAATATAGCTTCATTCACCTTGCAGACATGCAAAACCCACATTCGAACATGGGAGATCTTGTAATTCAAAGAGCTAAACCATACAAAAGTTATTTAGTAATGAAAAGTATAAAGTGCGATGGCCCCGGGAAATCCCGTGTTACATCGAAATTTGCTATATTAACATTGTGAACATTGTTTCCTTAATGTAACTACCTCGTGCCTCTATATGGGAACAAACTCATTAAATATATATTTTTCAATTCTGATATTTTTATTATATTCACGTTACCCATTTATATTTTATGAGTGAACACCTGAGTTCCCATTCTGCTAATGATGGAATAAACATTAATTATGCGGCCCTCGTGACAAATTTATCCTTTTAAGGCATTGGTAAAGCAAGGCAAAAAGTTTTCCGGTCGTCCGAACAACTTTTTGTTTGATTTGATTACACAAGGCTGCGGTATCGTATTTATCGACTATGGTCAGTTATGGAAATCTTCAAGAAGTTTGGATCGAGAGCACTGAATGGGTAATTCTTATTTTGTATTTAACATAATGTATATATATACATTTCATAATCAGCTGCTTGCCTAAATTAATGTTTCTTTTAACTGTGAGTCCCTATACGCCTATGTGGAAAAAGAAAAAATTTTAAGATAGTGGCAAACTATGATTTATCACTTTTGAACTTGAAATCATCAAATCAATCTGAATTAACTCTGACAAATAATTTTAACGTGCTGTCCTAAGATTTATGATCACTTTTTCATATTGTGTAAAAATTTTTGCTTGTCACAAGATTACATTAAAATTATGTAACTTATCTTAGCAATGTATCGTGACGTAACCCAAGCAAAACGTGTTAACTTGGTGTAACCAAAGACAATTCTTGGAACACAAAATTTTCAAGGCCATTCAATTTCTAAATTCCACTGTTTTTCTGTTCATAGATTCGGCGTTGGTAAAAAAGAGATGGAAAGAAATGTAAGGGAAGAAACTTTCTTTTTGATTAAAAGTCTAACGAGGAAAGAAGACAGGCGCAGTTTGCTTGTATGTATAAGACGTTTTTAGTGGCGGATACGGCGGATTATAGGATTTAAGTGTTTGACTTGTTTGGGTCGCCCGAAGTATTTTAGAAAATTAAATTTTAATACTTACAAATGTTTCCATAAACTTTTTTTCCAACTCTATTATTCTTGATGATAATAATCAGAATTGCCAATCAATTAACGACGTTGGAATAGAGAAATTAAATAAAAAACTACTACGATCGGCCCATTCTCATTGAAATAAGTATTCTCATTATGTATATTTTTTTGAATTTTTCCAATATTTTCTGGGAAAAACATCTGCTTACAACTTTTATATATTATACAGTTGAAACTAACATCGGCAACCTCGAATATCATTTGTAGATTGGTTCTGGGGACAAGATTTGATGATAATGACAAGAGAATTATGCGAATGACTGAGCTCTTACACGATTTGTAAGTTTTTTACAGTATTCATTGCATAATGATTCGACTTATTGAACAACAAATGATTGTTTTGCCTAATTCTGGCAGTAGATGTTGTTAGAAAAAAATAAACTGATCGGTTTTAAATTTTCGAAAAATTTAGGATGAAAGAGATTAGAACCTATTCCTTTTACTTTCTTATCTCCAATGAGTCATACGTTACTCGATTATTGACAAATTTTGTTGTTTTATTTCAATCGGAAAAGAACTACTTTTATTACGTGTGGGTTGTCTACAGAGCATTTCATCAAATTTGGTGCTCTCAAAACGTTACGGTACAGAAATGGAAAGTTCGTTTTCATGAATTTGGGCCTTGCTCTCTTGTTGAATAATCTGAATTTATTTCCATTTTATGGATTCTTTAAATTCCATCCTCTTTCATTAACGCAACCATTAACCTATTTGGAAGCGAGGTTAATTCAATAAATATTCATTTTCATGCATTTTTGAAATATGACTTAACCCTATTGGTGTTTAAAATATTTAGAATGACACATTGAATATGATTTTTATGAATAAAATAATTTGCAAATATTCCTAATGACGCCGAGGCACTGTTATTATTTGCACTTACTAGAAATTGGGTTCGTTCCGACGTGTAAAAAATGAAAATTAGAAAAAAAGTTACCAGTCAAAATAAAAATACTGGACAAAATTTAAAATTGAATAAATTAAAATTTAATAAATACCGATTCAATTTTGTGATTAAAGTTCAGTGATAAACATATTGCTGACGACTTAACGAATGGAATATGGAAGAATACAAGATACTAGCCGATTATATAATGTAGAAAACCAGGGGAAGTTACGGAATAAAACTAATTATAAAGATACCGTATATATTTTCAGTTTTGCAGTCACTACAGATTCAAAACTCTGCGGCCTGGTAGCGATTGCTCCGTTTCTCCGATTCATTCCTCCATTCAGCGGATCTATAAAACGTGCTTGGGATGATACCGTCGAATTTTCTGGTAGGATTTTGTTAAAGTTTATACGACGTTATTTCACTTCTATATTTTCGATCAAGGCTCTTTAAAAGCAGTGATGATGGAACAGAAACTCATCCTACTCTGGTGAAGTGAATAATTCCACGCAAGATTTTTATTCACCCATTCACACAGTATTGATTTTTTCGTTTTAAATGTATGGCAATTGTTTTCATTTGTACAAGCCTTGTTAAATGAAACGAAATGTTCCTTATCGCTCAAAGCGGTTTTCTTCATCGTATTTACATAAATTTGCCTTTCCTGGCAATCTTGGGATTGGACTTGAATCCGAGGTGTGTGATCGGCGATCTTAACACAGTTAATTCTAAAGCTTAATCGCTGAGCCATTGGACACGCCAAATTTACCAAGAAGGCCCGATAATTCCCCCAAAATTTGGCTGTTTCATTATAATTAAAAGTGAGTACTTTATTCCAACTTGCCTGAGCTATGCCGCCTCCGCTTTTTCACTCTCGTGCGCGAATCTTTTCAGCAAAGCTCGCTTGATGACATAAGTACTTACCGTACCGGTACGTACTGGTACCAATATGCTGGGATTTGAGTTTCAATTTGAATTTAAAGTTTTCCAATCTTTAGATACCTGACTTCAGTGAACCGGTAGTGTGGTTAGTCATTAGACTTTCATGTCCATATGTTCGAGCATTTTTTTCATGCTATCTTTTAGAATATATACGTGACATTATTGACGAAAAAGCATTAAATTTCAATAACAACGATATCAGAAATGTCAGTGATGAATATGTTGGAGAAAGGATATCTAATAGGCCGAATGATCTTGCACTTAATGTGAGTTTAATTTAGAAAGGATCTTCACGTTCTCGTCATTAAATAGATTTAAAAAGATCAAAATATTTTCTATACATACATATGTCCGTTTTATTACTTACAAGTCAATTTATTAAAATAAACTTAAAAAAAATTTTGAAATGGAACGAATCCATTCTGGGTTTGTTCATTTGTACATTGTCCATATATTGTTTTTGAGCTTGTTCTGTTGTTTGTTTGCATTCAAATTAGAACTTTTTTTTAGTTTCGTTCATCCACGTTGAATCCTTGCCAAGTTTTGCAAAATAGGAATATGAATTAGAAAATAAACCAAGATAAAGCACCTAAATACAGTTCAAAACACATAATCCTTATTCTCTTGTATTAGTACCTTTGCTTTATGTCTATCTTGTTTTTAATTAAAAACAGCCCGCAGATCATACAGCTGAT